TCTGTGCAATGGGTTTTTTTTTTTTTTTGGAGGAGAGGAGGACCCCAAAGTGGCTGGTTCCTTAAAACAGAAGCATAGGAGAAACAAATTTTATAAGTGTTAAATACAGATGTTACAGAGCAAAATCCCATAGAAAAAAGGCTACTTACTATGCATGCCTCTGCATACTTATTCAGAAATAATTCCCATTTAGTTCAATGGGATTTACTCCTTAATAACAGTGATTAGGATTTCAGACATAGCTTTTCTTAAGCATCATTTTGGCAGGAGCACACAGGACTTCTGTTCTAGTTAATCTTGCATAGAATGTTAATATATTGCTTGCATTTTACTTGGGTTGTATTTTAACCCGCCCCGCCTCTAAATAAACTGGAGCTTTTGTCTGGTTTGTTTGTGTACTAAAATCAACACCCAATAATATATTTTTCCTTACAATTGTCTGCATGTGTATCATGAGGGATGACAAGAACAAACATAGGATGCTGCAGTTGGCTATGATATTGTGTCTTCACAGTTTTAATATCAAGTCAAACTCATTTCCATACACTGTGGCCTCTATATTAATCACGCCACATCAGAGACATTGTCTTGTGCTAAAATATTAATTACAATAAGCATAGATATGCTGCAGAATTCTCTTAAGGATTTGCAACAATCATTTAGTTTTAATAATTTACTAACATAACAGTATAACTGACCTCTGGCTAAATGGAGAACCAGTATGTATTACCCATAATTTATGCAGCACAGGGCAGGAGGGGGATCACATTATTTCCTGTGTCAAACCATATTTATTCTTTATTATAGACAGCAAAGTATTCCCAAACTGTTGCAGGGTAGAGTTCAGGGTTCCAGAATCTCTATCCTGTTTCTCCTCTCTCCCATCCCATTTTTTTCAGATCCTTCCCCCTCCCACACAGACACTTGAATGCCTCTATTACTATTTTGCTATGTAGAAATAAGTGATGTATCTGATGCAGTTTTGACTGATCCTCATTCCAGTTTGATTTCTTCGGGGTGGGGAATGCTAACCCTGTGTAACTTTTTACAGCAAAAGAAATAACTTAGGAGACAATTAATTTGAAGCTGGCCAAGGACACTGTCAGTGTTGGAAGTGTCGATGCCAAGGCTTGGTGGGTATCCTTGAACAATTCACTCTAAGAATTGTTTTGTCCATCTCTCAAATGGGTGTCAGGATATACAAACTATGTAACCTATCTGCCAAGGGTTTTCAAAAAGAATGAATGAATGAATTGGGGATCGTAAAGAGTTTGAAGCAGTAAGTTTGGTGTAGTAATTAATATTATGATAGATTGTGTTGTTGTTGTTTAGTCGTGTTCGACTCTTTGTGACCCCATGGACCAGAGCACGCCAGGCACTTCTGTCTTCCACTGCCTCCCGCAGTTTGGTCAAACTCATGCTGGTAGCTTCGAGAACACTATCCAACCATCTCATCCTCTGTCGTCCCCTTCTCCTTGTGCCCTCCATCTTTCCCAGCATCAAGGTCTTTTCCAAGGAGTCTTCTCTTCTCATGAGGTGGCCAAAGTATTGGAGCCTCAGCTTCACGATCTGTCCTTCCAGTGAGCACTCAGGGCTGATTTCCTTAAGAATGGATAGGTTTGATCTTCTTGCAGTCCATTGGACTCTCAAGAGTCTCCTCCAGCATCATAATTCATGATGATAGATAATGGTTGCTTAGTCAGTCATGGGGTGGTCAGTTGTAAGGGGCTATGTCCCCTGGGGAGCTACGCAGGACTAGGTAGTTGGCAACTGGGAAATTTCTATACTAGCTGCTTGGATTAGCAGGCTTTCCCGCAAACCAATAATTTGAATTCTGGCCTATCCAGACAGGCTGAGTAGGTGAGGTGCTGGAGTGGTGACTTTCAATGGACTCTGGGTTAAGGACAAAGCAGAACTGTTTTATATAAAACTTCTTGAACAGGTCCAGTGCTAGCATAAAGCAGGGGTACCTGCTCTGTGGAACACAATAGTGCTCAACACCTAAATAAGCATGGATATGATCATGCTACCCCATGTTTGCTCATAGGTAGAGGCAGTGGAATGGGGTTCAATGTGTGCTCCACATGTTTAGAAGTGAAATAGTACACATTACAGTCTTAAAGTGTGTCCAGGGTAGAAAATTACCTAGCTGCATCACTGGGAAAAGCTGCCCAGGATGAAGTGTATGGTAGTAGGTGTGCCTTCAGCCCAAAGTTGTTCCCCACATAATATAAGCTTCAAAGCAGGGCACTAGGGATATGGCCTGGGTAGGTGTTAAATCTGTTCTTTTCCAGGGTTTCTGTTTCCTCCTAGACTTCCTGAACGTAGCCCATTAAGTTAGTCCTGTTCAACTCAACATATGTTAGTGGATCACTGAACCTTGCACCTGCCCTCTTCAACCTGCTGAGTTCGACCTGGATTCTGGGTTTTTTGGGACATATTAGAGGGAGTCTTTAGAGCTAAATTACTGATGATTTACAGTGGTACCTCGGGTTAAGTCCTTAATTCGTTCCAGACGTCCGTTCTTAACCTGAAGCACCACTTTAGCTAATGGGGTCTCCTGCTGCCGCCGCGCCGCTGGGGGACAATTTCTGTTCTCATCCTGAAGCAAAGTTCTTAACCTGAAGCACTATATCTGGGTTAGCGGAGTCTGTAACCTGAAGCGTATGTAACCCGAGGTACCACTGTATTTAAATGAAGTAATTTAACAATAAAAGCATCAACAATAAAAGCATATATAAAAAACAGTCTCAATTGCAATACAGAAATGACCTGGAATATAAAACAAATACCTACTTAAAAGGCTTTTTGGAGAAAGAAGGTCTTCAATAAGTACCAAAATGGTGATGTTGATGGGTGCCTGCCCAATATGTACTAGGGGGAAGTTTCAATGTGTTAACTAGGCAGTATGTTAGACGTATGTCTTCAGTGCGTCAACTTTTTCCTTAATGGTTTTTATTTAAATAAAAACTGAGGGGCAGGGGAAAATAGGATCTAGGCTGCATGCAGGGTGAACTAACTCTTTTCAACTATTAGTCAATGGGAGAGGAGCTTTTATTGGTGCCATATTTCATAGAATCATAGAATCATAGAGTTGGAAGAGACCACAAGGGCCATCGAGTCCAACTCCCTGCCAAGCAGGAAACACCATCAGAGCACTCCTGACATATGGTTGTCAAGCCTCTGCTTAAAGACCTCCAAAGAAGGAGACTCCACCACACTCCTTGGCAGCAAATTCCACTGTCGAACAGCTCTTACTGTCAGGAAGTTCTTCCTAATGTTTAGGTGGAATCTTCTTTCTTGTAGTTTGGATCCATTGCTCCGTGTCCGCTTCTCTGGAGCAGCAGAGAACAACCTTTCTCCCTCCTCTATGTGACATCCTTTTATATATTTGAACATGGCTTTCATATCACCCTCCTCTTCTCCAGGCTAAACATGCCCAGCTCCCTTAGCCGTTCCTCATAAGGCATCATTTCCAGGCCTTTGACCATTTTGGTTGCCCTCCTCTGGACACGTTGCAGTTTGTCAGTGTCCTTCTTGAACTGTGCCCAGAACTTGACACAGTACTCCAGGTGAGGTCTGACCAGAGCAGAATACAGTGGCACTATTACTTCCCTTGATCTAGATGCTATACTCCTATTGATGCAGCCCAGAATTGCATTGGCTTTTTTAGCTGCCGCGTCACACTGTTGGCTCATGTCAAGTTTGTGGTCAACCAAGACTCCTAGATCCTTTTCACATGTACTGCTCTCAAGCCAGGTGTCACCCATCTTGTATTTGTGCCTCTCATTTTTTTTGCCCAAGTGCAATACTTTACATTTCTCCCTGTTAAAATTCATCTTGTTTGTTTTGGCCCAGTTCTCTAATCTGTCAAGGTCGTTTTGAAGTGTGATCCTGTCCTCTGGGGTGTTAGCCACCCCCACCCCCCCAGTTTGGTGTCATCTGCAAATTTGATCAGGATGCCCTTGAGTCCATCATCCAAGTCATTGCTAAAGATGTTGAATAAGACCGGGCCCAAGACAGAACCCTGTGGCACCCCACTAGTCACTCTTCTCCAGGATGAAGAGGAACCATTGATGAGCACCCTTTGGGTTCGGTCAGTCAGCCAGTTACAAATCCACTGAGTGGTAGCATAGTCAAGACCGCATTTTACCAGCTTCTTTACAAGAATATCATGGGGCACTTTGTCAAATGCCTTGCTGAAATCAAGATAGGCTACATCCACTGCGTTCCCTTCATCTACCAGGCTTGTAATTCTGTCAAAAAACGAGATCAGGTTAGTCTGACATGACTTATTTTTCAGAAATCCATGCTGACTATTGGTGATCACAGCATTCCTTTCTAGGTGCTCACAGACTGTTTGCTTAATTTTCTGCTCCAGAATCTTCCCTGGTATTGATGTCAGACAGACTGGGCGGTAATTATTTGGGTCCTCTCTTTCCCCCTTTTTGAAAATAGGGACAACATTTGCCCTCCTCCAGTCTGCCGGGACTTTGCCTGTTCTCCAGGAATTCTCAAAGATGACTGCCAGTGGTTCTGAGATCACATCTGCCAGTTCTTTTAATACTCTTGGATGCAGTTCATCTGGCCCTGGAGACTTGAATACATCTAAACTAGCCAAGTATTCTTGTACTATCTCCTTAGTTATTCTGGGCTGTGTTTCCTCTGCTGAATCATTTGCTCCAAATTCTTCAGGTCGGGCATTGTTTTCTTTATCGGAGAAGACTGAGGCAAAGAAGGCATTGAGGAGTTCAGCCCTTTCTGTGTCCCCTGTTTGCATTTCACCATCTTCTCCTCTGAGTGACCCCACTGTTTCTTTGTTCTTCCTTTTGCTACGAACATACCCATAAAAGCCTTTTTGTTGCTTTTAACCTCTCTAGCAAGCCTGAGTTCATTCTGTGCTTTGGCTTTTCTGACTTTGTGTCTACACGTGCTGGCTATTTGTTTGAATTCCTCTTTGGTGGTTTCCCCTTTTCCATTTTTGTACACATCCTTTTTTTAATCTTAACTCAGTTAAAAGTTCTTTAGATAGCCACCCTGGCTTCTTTAGGCACTTTCCATGTTTCCGTCTCATTGGTATTGCCTGAAGTTGTGCTTTTACTATCTCCCTCTTAACAAACTCCCAGCCATCATGAACTCCCTTTCCTTTTAGTATTACTGTCCATGGGATCTCACCCAGCACTTCCCTAAGTTTTATGAAGTCGGCTTTCTTAAAGTCAAGAAATTGAGTCCTAGTATGCTTGGCTGCTCCTTTCCGCTGTATAGTAAACTTCAGAAGAGCATGATCACTCGCGCCTAATGATCCTTCCACTTCTACCCCACTAACCAGGTCATCAACATTGGTTAGGACCAGATCTAAAATGGCTGTTCCTCTTGTTGCTTCTCCCACTTTCTGGACAATGAAGTTGTCTGCAAGGCCAGTGAGGAATCTGTTTGACCTTATGCTCTTGGCTGAGTTTGACATCCAACAAATATCCAGCTAATTGAAGTCCCCCATTACTACTATCTCCCTTCCTTTTGCATGCTTGGCCATCTGTTCCAGGAAGGCATCATCTATGTCCTCCGTTTGGCTTGGGGATCTATAGTAAACTCCCACAATGAGGTCACTGTTATTCTTCTCTCCCTTAATTTTTACCCAAATGCTCTCACTTTGGCTTTGAGGTTCTAAATCTTGGATCTCTTCACAGGTATACAAATCCCTGACATATAACGCCACTCCTCCTCCTTTCTTGTCTGGTCTGTTTCTCTGAAATAGATTGTATCCCTCCATTATTACATTCCAATCGTGGGACTTATCCCACCAGGTTTCAGTGATGCCTATTATGTCATATTTAGTTTGCTGTACCAAAAGCTCAAGCTCATCTTGTTTATTTCACATGCTTTGCGCGTTAGTGTACAGACATTGAAGTCCATTAATCATTCCCCCGTGTCTCTTATTTAATGATTTTTTCCTCCCACCACTAGGTCTGCATGCTGTTTGCTCCATTTGGTCTATGACATATGGATGATCATCTTCATCAATTGATAGACTCCTACCTTCAGGAGCACTGTCTCCCTCCCCCACATTCGTCAGTTTAAAGCCCTCCTGATGAGGTTTCTGAGATTTTTGGCAAAAACATTCCTCCCAACCATTGTGAGGTGCAGCCCATCGCTTGCCAGAAGTCCATCTTCAAGAAACTGCAGTCCGTGATCTAAGAATCCAAACCGTTCCTATTTACACCATTTGCGAAGCCAGCTGTTCACTTCCACTATTTTCCCCTCTCTCCCTGGGCCACGTCGTTCAACTGGGAGGACAGATGAGATGACAATTTGTGCATTTAATTGCTTCAACTTCCTGCCCAGAGCCTCGTAGTCTCTTTTGATCTTCTGGAGGCTATTGCTTGCAGTGTCATTGGTTCCCACATGAACCAAGAGGAAGGAGTATTTGTCAGTGGGTTTTATGATTCCTTGCAGTCATTCAGTTACATCTTGGATCTTAGCCCCGGGAGACAGCACACTTCCTGAGACATCTTGTCAGGCCCACAGATCACTGCTTCTGTTCCCCTCAGTAGGGAATCCCCTATCACCACTACACGCCTCCTCTTAGGTTTGGTCGGGGTTCTTCCGTGAGCTGTCCGTTCCAAGGTCGCCTGCACACTCCCTGAGGACTGACTTTGCTGCTCGTCTTCATATACCTGATCGACTGTAATGAGGGAGAGATCCTCAAATGGAGTCTGCTCTTCGTCTTCCATGCTAGGGGAGAGGACCTCAAAGCGATTGTGTATTTCTAAACAATCAGAGTGAACCCTGGGCCTCCTACTTCTTTGAGTCACGTTTCTCCATATATCTGGCTCCTGTGTTGGTGAACTAGCCTCCTTCTCAGGGAGTCCCCTGTCTCCTCCTTGGTGGAGACGGTGTGCTCTGTTGCTTCCAAGAAGAGCTCCAGCTCTCTAATTCTTTGGAGCGTAGCTACACGTTCCTCCAGTTGCTGGACTTTGTCTTCTAAGAGGGCAATCAACATGCAATTGCTGCAGGTAAAGCTGCCTGCAACCTTTGGCAAGATGGCAAACATTGCGCAGGAACCGCAGGCGACTGCAGCTGTTCCCTCCCCCTCCATCTTGAGAATGTGTCGTTGGGGGTGGCTACAGCGGTCCTCCATCATAAAAAGCGTGAAGACAGGACAAATAACTCCCCCCCAAAAAAACCTAGGTCTCCCCCAACAAATGTTTGAGACTAGCTCCCCTAAATCTAAAAGATGGATCAAACTGCGCCGCCGCTGCCCTGCAAGCTCTGATAAGCTCCTCCCACAGCTAACCACCTGCCTCAACAGAAACCCTGCCCCCTCTGACCTTTGCACAGGGAGAGCAGCTAATCAGCCACAAAGAAACACACACACACAAGAAGACCCTTTCTGCTCCTTCTTCAACTGCTGCCCTGCAAGCTCTGATAAGCTCCTCCCACAGCTAACCACCTGCCTCAACAGAAACCCTGCCCCTTTGACCTTTGCACAGGGAGAGCAGCTAATCAGCCACAAAGAAACACACACACAAGAAACCCTTCGTCCAAAGGGGGGGGGGAATCCAGGAACTGACTTCTTTGGTCTCCATAATCTTAATTTCCCGGTTATGGGTTCCCCACCCCCACTTACACCTATGGCACTTCATTTCTAATTGCTTGATCAGTTAGTGCTTGAGAAAGGCAACTGTGTGTGTGAAAACTTTTTTATTTGAGGTGATATGAAAGTGCAATGCTTAACATGTAATGGCTAATTCACACAGGCAAGCCCTCACTGGGTGCTGAAGTCATTAATCAGTGAAGATGCATGTGTGTACCTGCACTCAACTCCCCAGTGACTGCAGTATAACCTAGGTTTACCTGACTTGCTCTGGCTAATGTTACATATGTGCACCACTGTTTTTCAATGCAGTCTTTTATATTTGTGCCATCAATTTTGTGTGGTGTATGGGGATGCCAATGAGTCTTTTGCCTTTCCGTCTGTGGCAAAAGGTGGTGTTTTTAGTTTTCGTTTTTTTATATAAAAAACTCCAAGTGTAACTCCATTTATCATGGAATATTATGTGCACCCTTGGGGATGGAACTGAAGGCCTGGTCCTGCAGCCCCACTGTTCATCCTAGAGTACTATGGTGTTGTGGTCTAAACCACTGAGCCTTGGGCTTGCCGATCAGAAGGTTGGTGGTTTAAATCCATGGCGGGAAGGTAAATGGTACATAGAACACACCACTTAGAAATGGGAAGTTAATTATCTAAGGATGTTTAGGAGGGGGCTCCAGGCAACATGGTATGGCTCATATAGAGTACCATCTCTTCTATTTGATATTTAGTTCACTAGCAAACAGCAGTAAATGTAATTATGCTGTTCCTTATGGTAGTGATTTTCCAAAAACATGCACATCTGCTACGATAAAGCAATCTGCCAGCTCTGGGGAAATATCACTTAGGAAAACATGTAGTGCACAAAAAGCAATTTCCAGCAAAGTTGTTTGCTAAACTAAAGCCAACATGATGGAGCTAAGAAAGCTGTAGATGAGAAACCCAAGCAGCAACAAGATCCTGCGTATCTTGGGACACGGCTAGTACCACTCTAAGCCGGAGTTTGAAATGCCACATTGAAATCTATAGTAAACAGTTCTGAGTGCAGAAATGCTAGAAAAGCTGATGTAACACATATATACATTTAAGCTACTGGGATATCATTACAGGGTCAATGCTAGCAGTGTATAACTGGCACCATATATAAAGGATTAACAGCAAGCTGATCTATTGGGGTACTTTATTAGAAACGGACTGCAAATTAAACATTGAGTATCTAGCTTTTCCCCTATGGGAACAGGCTAGTATTAAAAAAGCACTACCTATCATTATATGTCATTAATTGCTGTGGGGTTTGGGGGGTTGTTTTGTTGCAGTTTTTGGTATAGTGTTGTCCTTAGAACTATTAGTGTGAGAGCTCTGCCACTTTCTAGGCAAACATTGGACAAAGTCTATATTGCTCAATGTCTTGGATAAACAAGATCCTAAAAGGGAAAGACTTGTGTGGGGTTGATGAATGGAAATAGCATGCAATGCTCAACAAGCAGCAGCTGAAAATATGTAGTCAGTGATGGAGAACCTGTGGTCCAGAGAATGCATGTAGCCCATGTTCTAATTTTATGTAGTGCTCTGTATCCTGCAGGACCACCCACACAAATTGGAGTCACTTCCTTTTTTTACACATCATGTGTGTATGTGGGGAAGAGAGAAAAACAGAATGAAAGAGCTGCTACACAGTGAGAGGGGAAGTCTTGCAGTGAGCCTTATTGTGGTATGGGAAGCTCGGAGGGAGAGAAGGCGGCCTTGCAAGAGAGAAGGGAGAAAACAGAAACAGACAGCCAAATGGAAGGAAGGGGAAACACCTGTGTTAATTGAGGGAGAGAGAAAAATAAGGAAAGCCAAAATGGATGGTTAAATGGAGATTGGATGGAGAGGTGTGGCACTGCCATAGCTACAGTGGGGGCTGCGGGGGCTAGCTGGGGGCCTTGCCTCAGGTGAAGCCTCATAAAGAGAAGATAAATCAGGAATTCTTCTCTGGCTTGGAATTCAGTACTCATAATGCTCACCAAAACTAATCTACAATACCACAGTGGTACCTCGGGTGAAGTACTTGGTTCGTTCCGGAGGTCTGTTCTTAACCTGAAACTGTTCTTAACCTGAAGCACCACTTTAGCTAATGGGGTCTCCTGCTGCTGCTGCTCCGCTGGAGCACGATTTCTGTTCTCATCCTGAAGCAAAGTTCTTAACTTGAAGCACTATTTCCGGGTTAGCGGAGTCTGTAACCTGAACCGTATGTAACCTGAAGCGTATGTAACCCGAGGTACCACTGTATTGATATTTTGCTGGCATCTATGCAAAAAGTATGCTCAACAATAATACAGCATTTCTAGGTATATTTGAAAATATGTGTGCTAGTTTACCTCTTGGCTTTTCTAGCTCTAGTGATATATAATAAATGGATTAATAATGGTTTAAGCTGTGAGTAGTGGGTGAGCAATATCTAAGGGTAATCAACTGAAAGATGCAAAAAGTAAAATAAAAAACCAGTACACCCATTAGACTCACTATGTTTAATTAATGCATTTTATTATTCTTTATCATTTTGTCAATATCAAAACTTGGTAAGGCTGCTTATTTTCATGAAAATATCAGTTCATCTTTATTTGTCTAACGTCTGACTTAAGGGCATCAGTACCATCAGAATCACTACTAAGTAGAGATCAAGAAGGCTGGAATGGATGTTAAGTGAACTGCTGGAGGATGAGAATGGGAACTCAATACTTTAATGGGAAAGATTATACCATGTTAAGATCCCAAGTCTTATAACCATTTTTGTCCAGTTCTTCACATTTGGAGTTGGTTTAGAAAGGATAATGGCAAGTTTATTTTGCAAAGGGGGTGGGGAAGCAACCAATTAAAATAAAAAATACGTACATTCTAGGATTAAATGAAGTCATATAGGGAAGCAAAGACGGCTTGAGCACATACATGCTGAAGAAAGGAACAGAATAAAATTTTGTGGAAGGGTGAGTGAGGTGGATAGTGTTAACCAGTGTGGTGTAGTTGTTAAGAGCAGTGGACTTGTAATCTGGTGAACCGGGTTCGATTCCCCGTTCCTCCACATACAGCTGCTGGGTGACCTTGGGCTAGTCACACTTCTCTGAAGTCTCTCAGCCCCACTCACCTCACAGAGTGTTTGTTGTGGGGGAGGCGGGGAAAGGAGATTGTTAGCCGCTTTGAGACTCCTTAGGGTAGTGATAAAGCGGGATATCAAATCCAAACTCCTCTTCTTCTTTCTGAGGATAAAGTGAAAGGGATAAGTGAGAAATGACTGCCAGCATAGCATTTTCATCGCTGAGAGTTCATTTCAGGGTGCGAGCCAGAATGCTGGGTGCAGATGTGGGGAGCTGTTTCCTGCTCATAGGTCACATTCCCCCATGGAAAAGCTTCTGGAACACACATACAAGAGGCGTGGAGCCAGAGGGAAAAGAGGGGAAAGCAATGGCTGATACTCTTACCTCTGTATAGCAGGCTACATTCCGTCTGGAATGCCTAGAGTGAAACATTAGGGTGAAATCTGCCATTTCCAGGAACTCTCCTCTTCTCAAACTTTTGTGGGTGAACTGAGAGTTTGTTTGGACCCTCAGTGAGAACCCAGAGGCTGAGAAGGAGGGTGTGTCAGCAGGAAAATGAATTGACACTGATTTATAGTATTGGTAACTTTGTATTACTGTAACATTTTTATATGTAACGTGTATTTTTGTAATGTTTTGTTTAAGTTTTCCTGATACTTCCGTCTTCTGTCTGCCGCTTAGAGATATTTTTAAATATATTAAATGGTATAGAAATTAAGTAATCAATAATGAATGAAGAGTCATAACTCAGAACACCCCTCATTTATGTGCTCAGGCAATCTTGGTTTGAAGCATTATTACTGCAGTGTCATAGATTGATTATATCTATATATTAAGCATCCATATATATGCTTGAGATATATATATATATATCACAAAGTCTAACAATGCTCTATAGTTGCTGATAGGACTGATACAGGTGCTACTTTTACTGTGTTTCTTTGCCCCACATTTTGATTTGATTGAATGTTCCTGATTTGTGTAATCATTACATGATGTAAAATTATCTAAATGGCAGCATGTAAATTGCAATTCATTGATTGGCAGATGGCCATTACTGGCCATTCAGAGGGCATAGATTTGAACAATCACTTTGTGCTTTTCTTCAGTAATGGTGCAGTGAATGTGTCAATTATCTACTCCTGCGATTCTAATGTTTCCATCCTGATTGGCTGCTGCATTCTGAACTATCAGAGGTGCTTGCCAAGAAGAAATCTGCTATCTCAGCTTTTGCTCTTTGCAATAAAAGACCCTTTTTTGGGGTGGGGGGGAGGCAGTAGAGATTTATATTTTTAAAAAACCAACAACCAAGTGTTTGCCTAGAAATGATTTTTAAAGTAAATGTAGCTTTGTATTTTTATTAAGAAATGTATTATAGTTTACTTTTATATTTCAATACCTTTGGCTGTATCAGACTGTCCTATTCTGAATCCTATATTTTTAAACCAAAAATGCAATATACAGGAATGATAATCAGCACAATACCATGTGTATATATGTGCAGATACATAATGAGCCATTGGCTTAGCAAACCGCAATGTGAATGTGCACCCTGGCCCATGGTATCAGAAAAGAAGCGCTTGGAAATTTTGTTTTGTTTTATTAGATTTAGATACTGTCTTTCAACAAAAGATCTCAGGGTGGTTCACCAGAAAAAACACAGGATAAAAGCACAAATAAATAGTTAAAACAGAAAGAACAAAGCAATACCCCCCCCCAAAAGAAAACCCCCAACACATTTAAAAGGCTGTAGAATATTTCATCAGCC